TCCCTCATTTTTCTTAATTTTGTAGAATATATTTTAAAGAAAGAGGAAAATAGTTTTGTGTTTTTAAAAACTTCTTTCCCCCAGTTCTGCGTTCCTGATCCTACGCATAGGTTGCAAACTTTTAATGTGAATTATTTACTAATAACCAAACAAAACAATTTTCAAATTTTGAAATAACCAATGCTTTTGCTGCAGTTCTAAATGGTTTTGTATCATGTTTTTTCCCCTTTATTTCTCCACATTCAATACTTGTTCTAGCCTTTATTATTTTTTCACTGCTATGTTCTGGTACTGTTAAGTTGCTTTAGAGTACCTATTTCTATGTCACACTGTTGCCTGGCTTTAATATCCAACAGATATCTAAAAAGTCTTAGTAATAATTACAAAGTGACTCATCTCATTTTCCATTTTTGGTGACTTAATTACCTAATTTTCCAAGGTAAATTCTAGTGATGATAGCTCTTCTATTTTCAAGCAGTGAATTGACATCACAGTAACAATGTTTGACTAAATTGATAAATCTTTGTTATTCCAAAATACAATGATGATTAAAGGTTGTTTACTTTTGCTATAGATTTTTGCCACTTTCTCCAACTAGATTACTGTTTTAAAGTTAAAATATTGTTTTAAAGTTAAAATTATTTCCAAACCTATGTTTTATAGACATGTAATGTTTCATTCAATTATATTGATCATCACTTCATGGCAATGGTGCCATGAAGTAAAGAATATACTTTGGGAAATATACTTTGGGAAATATATTTTGGAATATACTTTGCCATGGCTGTAAAGAATATACTTTGGGAAAGACCATGGATTTTAGATTATTATTGTGATTTTTGATTTATATATTAAAGATAGATTCTTTTAATTCTTTTTGTATATTTGGTACCTAGAGCTTTCCAGTATTGACATGAAGTAAACCCATGAAAACTTCTGATTCTAGAGAAACATCTTACCGTGTTTCAGATATTTTTAGTTTTGATGTCATTACCATCTTCTGAAGCCTTTTTTCCTTATAAAGGTGATTTACAAAGCAGTTACAGTCATAAAGTCACATAATGAGTACATTTGATTTTGAATAGCATCATCCTGTCCCTCATTTTCTCCCAGATTTTTCCCTCCACACCTCACTTTTCCCCAAGTTATACAGTTCATTTCCAATATAGTGTCTAGTGAGTATCACTGTTTAGTTAGTTTACTCTTTGTCCCACTGTTTCTGTGCATTCCTTCCCCCTCCCCAAATCAGATCAATTTACATACAAGAAAAAGCGTACAGAAATCAAAAACAAAAAAGGACAAAAAAACCGAGGGGAAAAAAAAGAACTGAAAACAGTACAATAAAAAAAAACAACTTGTTTCCATTTCTTGGAGTTCATTTTGATAAGCATCATTTTATATGATCTTATGGACATAGCTGTTGAGCCCTGTGATCCTCTCCTAAAAATAAGCTTCTTTGTTCTCATTGTGTGAATGTTTAGAGTGCTGTTTAAGTAATCATGTCCAAGTGTAAATTTTGTCATTTACTATTCGTTGGGTTTACTTTTAGATTTATATACACATTCCAATTATTACAAAGAAACTAGGAAGCTTATGTGTCTTTGGGTCTAGCCTCCCTCACTTAATATAATTTTTTAAGTCTTTCCATTTCTTTATGAATGTGACAATGTCATTCTCTCTGATGGAAGTATAGAATTCCATGTGTCTATATACCACATTTTCTCAATCTATTTGTCCATCATCCACTGCTCTGGGTCTTCTTTTGAATGTTTGTCTCTATTCTTTATGAAGTATGAGAATACTGGATACTGTCTGAATGAGGGATGTATATGTAGTTCACTGGTAGAGGATTTGTACAATGACCTAGATTTAATCCCCAGTTTAGTTACAGAGACAGGGACAGAGAGAAATGGAGATTTCTCAAAACATCTGTACCTACCAAAATAGAGAGCATTACAATGATTTTTAGAAATAATTGAGTAAATGAAAGTATGTTGAACTGTCTGTTAACTCTTTTTTTTTGTTTTTGCCAGTCATGGGGCCTGAACTCGGGGCCTGGGCGCTGTCCCTCAGCTCTTCAACTCAAGGCTAGTGCTCTACCACTTGAGCCACAGCGCCACTTGTGGCTCTTTCTGCTTATGTGGTGCTGAGGAATCCATCCCAGGGCCTCATGCGTACAAGGCAAGCACTCTACCACTGAACCACCTTCCCAGCCCCAACTCTTACTATTCATTTTATATCATTTAATTTGTCCACATAGTATCCATTTCAATAACCAGTACCCCAGTCCTAAAACCACTTCACTCAGCTGCAGCTTCAACAGGTCTCTGTGCTTCATCTTCTTTGACAAATGTATATGTTTACCAGCTCCTTGTTGACAATTGACACCACACACGTTTTTAAGCTTATAACCTTATGGAAACCCACCTTTCTGATGTTTCTTTGTGGGTTTTTTTTTTTGTCTTTTTGTTTTTACCTTAAACATCTGCGCTTTCCCAACATCATGTCTCTGGATGCATCAGAATTTCTAGTCATTTAAGCCATCATCACCTTAGAATCCTTGTGCTAGATTTTTCTAAAGCCTGCCATGCTCTTGCTGTTTGCATAGCTCAGCCCCTCTCAAATTTCACTCAACTGTTTCCTTTTACTGATGGGATGCCTCACAGTGATAGAGATGTACATATATAATTTATTTGTTCTAGTGTTATTACATATTCTTTATACTATGCAACTTTTCTTATAAAATACAAGCTCAATAATTTTAGTCACTGCAATATAGAGCAGTATATGATATTTGGTAAACAACAAACATTTGTACAACTAATGGTGAAAGAATTATTTTTAAATCCAAATTACTGAACATGAGAGAGAATGCATATCTTATGGTATATGGTATTTTTTTAACTTACTCCTATGTATTAACAAATTGTAATTATGCATATTTGGGAAAAACAAAGTTGTTCTATTATTTTTAATGCAATGCCTGATGACTCAAGCCAACTAATGTATATTACTTAATGTTAACTATCACAGCTCAAAATTTTACTTTTAACTATATTTTGATTCCGAATATTGGCATAGAACTGAACAATATGGAATAATTTACGTCTCTGGCACCAAGCAAAAATGTTCAGTGTATTTCCCAATTCAGAACTATGCCAGAATAATCACTTATAATAAAAAAAAACCCTCTATTTCTAAATGACTCATCACATTTAAATCACAATATACTACAGTATTATTTTAAGAATATCTTTGTTAACTTGAGCATATAAGTGAACAATCTTCTCCATATCACTATGTCAATAGCTATGGTATATACTAATATGTAATTATTTGAATCAAACTTTTGAAATAAGCATCCTTTAGCAAATTTTCAATATTGCTATTTCATGTTGAGTACCAGATGTCAGAAGAGTTGAAAACATGTTTATTTTGGTCTCTTGGTCCTTCAAGATTTTTCTGACTCAATATCTTCTCCATCTTTCATGGATATGTTATTTAGCCTCATTGAGTGAATAGCTCTGAGCAATCTGCATACTTCAAAAAGAAATGATTTGGCCACCTGCATTTTTGGAAATTTGTAAAAAAAAAAAAGCTATAGAAATATTTCTAAGGAGGAAATATCAATAAATAATATATTAAAGATTTTGGATCTCTGAGGAATATGGAGCCTCATTAAGGTGCAACTTTCTCACAGAGACAGCACTGAAGCGAGCAGTTAGGTAATTTAATGTGACTTCTCATTTCAAGAGAAATAGTACAATATACTTTGCAATTTCCAAAGAATAAGCTCAAATTAGTTTAGATTCTTAATATTTCTCTGTTTCCCTTTACCTCCTACCTATCTGTATGTCAATACTGCATTAATAGACTTGCATTACAATAGGAAGGTCATGTCTAAATTCAAGAGTTATTTCTTCAAATTATCAGCTGAAATTTAACAGAGTTGACAAAGCTAATTAGAAATAAAGTTTAGAACTTACACTAAAGTCTTTGTCACCCAAGGTTAAATCTTAAGTTATAAATCCATTGTCATTTTCCCCTATAGATTCCATATAGCATTCCATATTATATTTCTTGTTTTAACCTTGGAAAAATTGTGGTATTGGCCAGAAAGAAATAAATCTATTTAATTTAATTTTTTTTGTCGGTTGTGTGGTCTTGAACTGTGGACATGGGTGCTGTCCCTGAGCTCTTCAGCTCAAGGCTAGTGCTCTACCACTTAAGACAGCACCACTTCTGCTTTTCTGAGTGGTTAATTGGAGATAAGAGTCTCACAGACTTTCTTGCCCTGGCTGGCTTTGAATCCCTATCCTCAGATCTCAGTCTCCTGAGTAGCTAGGATTACAGGCATGAGCCACTGTGCCCAGCTTAATTTAATTATTTTATTTAAAAACTAATTATTTTACATTTTAAAATTATTGCCATTTTACAGAGGTTTCGTTCTTCTTTTTTTAATAGACTACAGAATTTTAATCTAGAACATGAAGGGTTAGATCTTACTGACAAGAGTTTCTTAATACATATTTTTCTTTTATAAGATTTCTTTTTTTCTGTATCATTACTTTATTGCATATTTTGTATGTTTCAATGAATATAATAAATACTCTCTTAAAAAAGTAAGGCACATGAAAAGTTTCTGTGCAAGTTCCATTATTACTCATAACATTCCATATAATTCGAAAATTCTATTCTAGTGGAAGCATTTTCAATTACAGAACTGAAGATGTCGAGAAAAGGACATGATACATCTTTTGCTTGCACGTAAACTATCTGAATCATTATTACACTTTACCTCATGGCCCTGTCAGCAAAGCCAAGGTTTGTAATCATATCACTGAAGCTACTGTTACAACTGCAATAGCACTAATCGGTTTAAACGTGTATGTACAGTCGGGTCACAAGTATTAATTATAGAAAACCCACAGAAGGAAGAATAACTAATCTAACTGCATCAGTGTCCTGATTTGTCCCAGGTAGGGGGTTGGCATTTTCTTCCCAAACGGTGCTGATATTCACAAGGCGTAGTTACACGATGCTGAAGACCATGGAGAGATACTGCTCGTTAGACACCTGAATCCAGCCATCTTGATCCGTGTCGTAGCGCCTGAATATATCCCTCAGCCTCTGCAGGACGATGCAGCCTTGGATGAAGTCATCAAACACAATCTGGCCTTGTCCCTGTTGGTCAAACTTTCGGATGAGGATGTCGTGGAACTGGTCAGAGAGCCGGTAGCCTGAGAGTGCTCGCTTAAGCTCGTTCTTGTCGATCATCCCGGAGTTTTCTCTGTTATAGGTGCGGAAGACATTCTGCCAGTCTGTAATGTACTTCCAGACACCAGTGAACTCACTGAAGTTCACTCCAGCTTTGTTCTCCGGGTCAAACATAGAGATGATTGACCTGACGGTCACTGGATTACACGGGGTCCATGTACCATTGGAGAGGCTTGCTGAAGCTCATTGTCCGCTATCACCCCACTCCTATCTTTATCAACCCGCTGGAAGACGTTCTACAGGAAGCTCTGGTCTGGCAGCGCCACGCCCGCAGCAGGCCTGGGCAGTAGGCCCAGGCGGCCATGGAAGCAGGCGACGCGGGAGACACTGCTCAGCTCTGACCGCAGCGCTCTCTTTTATAAGATTTCTTATTGACACTGTTAGTTGTACAGGTGTGTTTTTCTTTTGACACTTCCAGACACATAAGTCAAGTATCCCTCTCTGACCCTCTTCCAGCATCACCTTCCTAAAATAATTTCAGCAGTTTACATTGTGTTTCCTTACATTTTCTTACTTCAACTATTTTCATTCTCATTCATTTTTTCCACTGACCCTCTCCATTCCCACAGATGCCATACCCCAAGGTTGCTTATTTCACTTCCCCACATATCTGGGGAAATTTTAATTTTCCATTTATATTTCTTTTATGTTACTGAAATCATTACCAATTTTACCTTTCTAAATGCATCAGGTCTATTTCATATTATGCTGATAATATAAAATATAAGATTTATTAGCAGTAAACTGCTGTATTTCAATAAACTCCTGGTACACTGATTGCCAATTTAATACAATTATGCCTAATTTTGTGTACTTAAACTTAATCTTCTAGTCTTGTCAATTTTAATATTCATTTTAACACCAGAATTGACTTTGCCTGTATGAATTAACCACATGTCTTAATGCAATAGTACAAAGATCTGAGTACAGTGCATTATGTCAAATTTTGAATGTTCTTCCATTCATATTTATATATTAATATTCATATGTGATAATATTCATTTATACAGCTTCTCTAAGAGTTAGGCAGATGAGCAAAGTTTATTTTATGACTGAGATGATTACATCTGAGATGATAAAAATAAAAAGTACGCAAAAGCCACTATTTGCTTAAGGGTTATTAGGCTGCTGTTAAATCGCCATTTTAGCTGCATATGTACCAGACTCTTCACCATTGTTTCTCAAAGTATTATCACACACATAACACATACACACACACACACACACACACACACACACACACACAAACACATACACATACCATTGGGAATACTTAGGATACATACAATGCCAGATCCTAAGAGTGAGACCTATTGAATGACTTGAATGGACATTGTTAAACAATTACTTTATTTACAATTAAAAAGTTAGAGGAAAATAGTTCCAGTAATAGTAATATCATATAAGAATATCAATACACTTTAGTGATTCTCAAAATATATAAACCTTTGAATGATAATCCAACAAGCTAATTGTATGGTAAAAAAAATCATGCTCATATTCTATTTTTTAAAAAAGAAAAGCAGTTACTGAAAGGGATAACATTCTACTTAGTTGACTCATTTAACAACCTACCTCAGGTTTTGGATGTGCTTTTTTTTTTTAAGAAATCCCCAAAACACAGAAATAGAGGAAGCAAAAAAGAAGGAAGGGAGGGAGGAAGGGAGGGAGGAAAGAAGGAAGGAAAGAAGGGAGGAAAGAAGGGAGGAAGGAAAGAAGGAAGGAAGGAAGGAAGGAAGGAAGGGAGGGAGGGAGGGAGGGAGGGAGGGAGGGAAGGAGGAAGGGAGGAAGGGAGGAAGGAAGGAAGGAAGGGAGGAAGCAAAGGACGAAGGAAGGAAGGAAGGGAGGGAGGGAGGGAGGGAGAAGGAGGGAGGGAGGGAGGGAGGGAGGGATGGGACGGAGGGAGGGAGGGAGGAAGGAAGGAAGGAAGGAAGGAAGGAAGGAAGGAAGGGAGGGAGGAAGGGAGGGAGGAAGGGAGGAAGAGAGGGAGGAAAGAAGGAAGGAAGGAAGGAAGGAAGGAAGGGAGGGAGGGAGGGAGGGAGGGAGGGAGGGAAGGAGGAAGGAAGGAAGGGAGAGAGGGAGGGAGGGAGGGAGGGAGGGAGGAAGGGAGGAAGGAAGGAAGGGAGGAAGCAAAGGATGAAAGAAGGAAGGAAGGGAGGGAGGGAGGGAGGGAGGGAGGGAGGGATGGGACGGAGGGAGGGAGGGAGGAAGGAAGGAAGGAAGGAAGGAAGGAAGGAAGGAAGGAAGGAAGGAAGGAAGGAAGGAAGGAAGGGAGGGAGGGAGGAAGGGAGGGAGGAAGGGAGGAAAGAAGGAAGGAAGGAAGGAAGGAAGGAAGGAAGGAAGGAAGGAAGGAAGGAAGGAAGGAAGGAAGGAAGGGAGGGAGGGAGGGAGGGAAGGAGGAAGGAAGGAAGGGAGAGAGGGAGGGAGGGAGGGAGGGAGGGAGAGAAGAAGGAAGGAAGGAAGGAAGGAAGGAAGGAAGGAAGGAAAGAAGGGAGGGAGGGAAGGAGATAAAATTAAAGAAGGAAAGAATGGGAAGAGAGATAAGGAAACAGGGATGGAGGCATGAAAGGAAGGAATGAGGGGAACTAAAAGTAATTTTAATGAGAGAATGATAACTAAAAGCTCCCATAAAATCTACTATTTTTCTAATATTCCAAAAAACACATGTATAGTGGGAGTTTTATTGTGTTGTCTAAGACAAAATTAGAATGATGAACATTTACTAAGTTAATGATTTCATGTAGAATAGAAAGTGCTAGTATCCAGATTTTATCACTTAGTACATATTACCAAAGAGATTTAGTTATATATGTACCTGAAAAGCTAAGATAGTGTACATGTTTGTCAATAAGATACAGAAATGAGTTTTTTATTTTGTTGATAATGACTAATTTTGCAAGGGGGTTTTGAGAAGACATCCCTTCTTTAGTTTCAATTTTCCCATCCATCCAATGATGATAATATCAGCTGTTAGATACATGTCAGGAGTTTTATCCAACAAATACACTAAGTTAATGTAAAATAACAGTTACAATTAATTATTGTGAAGAGTATACTATACCTTACTTCAACATTTATTGATTACTGTTAACTTTTCTTAGAATCATAATATGCTTATACTTCCTCTCAATATATTAGTTAATGTATTTATCCATTCAATAAGTACTCACTGGGCAACTACTAGATGCAGGGCTTCTAAGTTTTGCAAGAAATAAGTTATCATCCCCTGAGCCCTTGGAATCATCATTCTAGTAGAATAAACAAATAAATCTGTAGTTATAACATTATAAGAATATTAAATGCTATAAAATAATACCCCATGTAGCAATAAGTTCATTTACCATTGGAATCAAAGGTACCAAAATTTCAAGTATGAATAACAAGTGCATTAACTCAGAAAATAGAGGTAATGAGGGTAGAGAGAAGACAGAGTATTCCCAGACAATTCAACAGTTACATGAGTGTTCTGAAATCACTACAGAATTTTTAAGATCCTTTCTAATAATTTAATTATCATTTATGATCAATATTATTTTCAAGAGTGGGAATGTTGGTTAAATTATACAATAGAGTAAGATTTCTTAAAATATTTTCTTTATCTTTAAGGAGGTATATTATGGAGTTGCCTTTAAAGCAGTTTATGAATACAATGTGCTTTGATCAATGTCACCTCTTGCAACATTCTCACCTACCCTTTGTATTTATTGATTAACTTTGCCTTTCACTGTCCCACCAGAAAGACAAATGAACTGAATGCACGTGGCTCATGCCTGTAGTCCTAGCTAGTCAAGAGGCTGAAATCATGGTTTGAAGCCAGCCTGAGCAGGAAAGTCATGAGACACCTATCTGTAATTATGCAGCACAATAAAGCAGAAGTGGAGCTATGGCTCAAGTGGAAGAGCACTGGACTGGAGCAAAAAAAAAAGACTGGAGCAAAAAAGAGCTCAAGGACAGCACTCAAGCCTCGAGTTCAAACTCCCAAATCAGCGTACACACACACACACACACACACACACACACACACACACACACACGCACACGCGCGCACACACACACACACACACACACACACACACACACACACACAGAGGCAACTGAATATTTATTATATTAAGGAAGAGCACCAAAAAGCCAAACAATGTTCATTTAAATCATACAATAAAAAGTAAGTAGCTATACATAGTGATTTATCAGAAATAGCTTGGTTCATCCTATTTTCCCACTGTAGTTATTTATGCCGTAATCTCTCTTCCAAGTCTCAATTCGGCAGACAGATTATTAGAACTCTAGGGAATCAAATGATTGTATTAATAGGAGAAAACCATATCTCAGTTTAGGGAATTGGTCTAGAGGTGGTTCCTGTTGTCCTGTGTTAGAAGAATATGCTGTGGCTTTCAGCGGTTGATGATGGAAGCAGGGCTTCGTTTCTTAGAATCATTCTTTGAATTGCTTCTCTGTCTGTCCATCCATGGCCACAAAATCCACTGCCACAGTCCTCCCAGTGCTGACGAAAACTATATGATATTTTTTGTCCGGTTTTCTTCCTTCCTATCTGTTTTATATACCTCCATAATCACTTCAATTTATAAAACTTCAAGTGAAATGTATCTGAGAAATCATGAATTTTTTCATGTTACAAATGTCCTTAATTGTGTATTGGTATAAACCTCAGAAAAAAAGATAACCAATATAATTATAGTAATTAGCAGTAATAATCACAAGAATATATTTCAATAATTATCAGAATATTAACTGTTTTCCCATATTTACTTTCATTTATATAGTTACAAACCTTGAGTTTCTTCAAACATGATGAAGCTCCAAAAATATAAGAATATGTTTTGGCTTCAACCCTTAGTTGCTACAGAATATCAGTTAATGTATATTTGATCTAGTCATTGATTTCCAACAGATATTGTACATCTTCCTAACTGCTTCTCATGATGTGATGGGAGAATTAACATGATAAAAATGAGTAAGTTTACAGATAAGACCTTGCTCCACTGTTGGAAAATTACTTGCTCAAAACTTGCCAGAATAACTCTGCTTTAGAGTTCTTCTGGAAGTACATCACTCATCTGTATAAGATGAAGGTCTAGCTCTTAGTTGAATCCAATAAATGAAATTACTTTATCATCTTCTGGGTATGACCTGGCAGAACAATGTTTTTATTATTAAATTATATAAAGAAAAACAATATAGTTATAAGTTAACATTATAAATATTGAAGA